TGCCATTCCTCCAAACATCACAATCAAATTGCTAAAAACTTAAGATAAAGTAAAAAATCTTAAAAGCACCCAGAAAAACACACACACACACACACACACACACACATTATATAAAGAGAAAAAATTAAACTACTCAGACATTTACCGTAAGAAACAATACAGATCAGAAGACATTGGAAAGGTATCCTAGTGTTGATGGAGAGAAAAGACAGTATACCTAGAACTTTATATCCAGCAAAAATATTCTTAGAAAAATTAAGAAAAAATAAAGGCTTCAGCAGATAGACAAAACAGAACTGCACTACTTAAATTACAGGAAGTTCTGAAGGTGGAAGAAAAACAAGAGATAAAACTTGGATCCAGAGACAGCAGATGGCATGTTGTTTAAGGCCCAGGACTTCCACCTACAAGGCCAACTGCAGTTTGGGTCTCAGACCTGGTGGCTTGCTCTCACTTTCTCTTTCTCTCTCTCTGGTCAAATTCAAAAATAATAATAAAAAAATTAAAAGTAAAAATAAACAATAAAAAAACCTTGGATCTATATAAATGAAAGATGAGTGACAGAAATATGATCCCATTCTATGAAATATCCAGAATAGGTAAATCCATAGAGATAAAAAAACAGATGGTCAGATACCAGGGGCAGAAGGATAGGAAGTATTGGGAATAACTGCTCAATGGGAAGAAATTTTTTTGGGGGGGCGGGGGTCATGTTTTGGAAAAGGAAACTAGACAATAATATAAATGTACTAAATGCCAGCGAACTGTTTTCTCCAAAATGACTAATTTTATGTTATGTAAATTTTTTTCAGTTTTTTAAAAACGATAAATAACTGTTGAAAGCAAAAGTAGTAACTGTATTTGGGAGTTCTGACATCTACAGAAATAAAAGAGAAAGGGAAGTATATTGCTAGTAAGCGTTTACATTACTGTATATGTAAAGTGCTCTAACACTCTTTGAAGGTAAGCTGTCAAAAGTTCAATTTTCATACTTGAAATCCTAGAATAACTGCTGACGAGCAAAAAAAAGTATGCTAATAAGTGAAACTGGAGAAAAACTGAATAATAAAAAAAATTTAAGACAGAAAAAGTAAATATAAAAAGAACAGATGGAAAAGGACACAAATAGTAAAATAACAGGTTTAAACCCTACTTTATTGGTAATTACATTAAACATGAAGGGTCTAAAAAACACAATTAAAAGGCAGAGGTTGTCAGAATGAATTTTTAAAATCAAAATCCAACCATATGCTGTCTACAAGAAATACACTTCAGCTATTAACTGCACACAGGTAAGTTAGAAATAAAATGATGGAAAAAGATAGATCATGCAAACAGTGATCCAATAAAATTTGAAATGCCTATCAGAAAAAAAGCTGTTTTCAGGCTTACAAATATTACCAGAGATAAAGACAAATTCACCATAATGAAACAGCCAAATCAAGACATAACAATCCCAAAAGTGACATATCAAATAACAACTTAATAGAATAGAATTGAGACCTGTACATAAGGGACTTCCAAAAGTTCATGGACAAATAGAATTAATGTAAAAGTTTATTTTGGTTCAAAAATTTTTTGAAATATAAGCAGTTTTTTTTTTAATAATATGCATGTCCATGAACTTTTTGAAGAACTGCTCATCCTTCACTTTTATATGGTCAGTTATTATTGATAAAAATCACCAAACTACTCATGAAGGAAAACATCTGACTATGAAGTATAATCAAGCAAATTCAGTAGAGACCCCAGTTGTAATTGCTGTTCCACATGTGGTCTATTCACTGGCACAAATTAATACCACTTGTGGCACCTAGTATATATCCATCAAATTAACAAATAGGTTTTCTTCTCTATTCCAAAAACAAATGACTGAAGCTGTTTAAACACAGCAGTCCAGAGCATACCTTCACTGTCACAGTTCAGGGCTACATCAACACTCCATCTATTATTATCAGGTCCACAGAGACTTTGGGCATCTCAGTATCTCACAAGTTCACGATGTTATTATTCCTACCAGGAAATATGAGTTTTCCTAAATCCCTACATCCACATCCCCACCTATTTTTGGCACTATTGAGCTTTCTACTTCTTGTCTATGTAATACAAGAAAAAAAAGATATTTCATTACCATTTTAATTTGCGTATTTCTTAATGTTAATAAGTTCATCTCTTATGCTTATTAGGATTTTTTTTTCTGTAAACTATATTAATATCCATTGCCTATTTTTTTGTGGAAGATGTTGCCCTCAAATTGTTGATGCGTAGTCCCTTGTGTAGCCTGATGATAATGCCTAGTCAGTTTAAGTAGTACACATTATCTTCTCTAATTTTTTCATCTTTTTGCTGAATGGAAATCTTTAACTTTTATATAAATGAAGTCATTAATGTCATACCTTTTTTGTTTGTTTGTTTTTAGAGGTTTTTGCTATAGGGCACGTGCGCTTGCCAGACAGAGAGAGACAGAGAGAGGGAAAGCGAGAACTCACCCCCCAGAGGGGATGGCCACACCGCAATCAATCCCTTCCCCTCCATTCTCCTCTCAGGATCTTGGGCACGCACACACACGCGCCTAGTGTAAGTTTAAGCCACCGGGTCCAGGATGCAAACCGTGGTCAACTACATGAGAGTCCAGCAACATAGCCATTACACTAACTGCTGGTCCCTCCTATCTTTTTTTTTTTTTTTTTAAGAAGGGTTTTTTCTAATGGGCGTGTGTGCTCACCAGAGACAGAAAGCAAGAAATCACCGACCCCCTCCCTGGGAGGATGGCCACACCACAGTCTCTTCTCCTCCATTTTCCTCTCAGGATCATGGGCAGGTACACACACACATCTGGCAAGTTTCAAGCCTTCAGGTCCGAGACTCAAACTGCAGTCAACTACGTGGGAGTTCAGTGACGTAACCATTATGCCATCTGCTGGTCCCCTGATACCAGTTTTTTAAATTAACTTATTTTTTTCTTCCATGAGAAAGAGAGACAGAGCACTCCCAGAGAGAGTCTTGATGGCACAACCCACCCCCAGCCTCAACCAATCCTGAATCATGGGCACGCATGAGCCCTGCATACTCAGGGAAGTCTCTGCAAACCCAGAACCTTCCCATGAGGGTCAGTTTGACAAGGTATCACATCTTCTAGCTATGCCATATAGCATCTCTCCAGACAAATTTCTATAGGTAAGAGTTTTGTAGGAATTACACATTTAATTTAAAAATTCAGTAATTCATCACTTCTTTTTTAAAAAAATCTGGTATTTGGAATTATTCTCCATTTTCATTCATTTTATTAACATGTTTGTTGGCTGATTAATCTTATCAAAAGTCTGCCTGGCTTTTTTTTTTTTTTTTTTTTTTTGCGGGGTGGGGGGGTTGCTATAGGACGCATGTGCTTGCCAGAAAGAAAGAGAGACAGAAAGCGAAAAAATCACCCCCAGCGGGGATGGCCATGCCGCAATCCCTTCTCCATTCTCCTCTTGGGATCTTGGGCATGCACGCACATGCGCCTGGCATTGAGTTTAAGCCACCGGGTCCCGGACTCGAACCACGGTGGACTACATGGGAGTCCAGTGACATAGCCATTAGGCCAACTGCTAGTCCCGCTTATTAATCTTTTCAAAGAACAATCTCTTGGTTCGGCACATCTTTTTTTATTTTCAATTTCACTGACTCCTGCTCTTAACTTCATGCTGTTTTTTGAACTCTTCAAAAGAACTTGACTTTTGCTTTTAACTTCAAGCTGTTTTCTGAAGCCTTCAAATGAATCTGTTTTAAGAATAAGAGCAAGCTTCTCACATTTAGGTAAGTCACTCTGCCACTCTGTACAAGGTCTGGTCTCAGAGCTTTCAACACACCCACTGCACAATGTGAATGCTATTCTTACATATGCAGGATGGGGGGGGGGTCATATATAAACCTTACCAACCATGCTTACACATCAATGTTTTTGACTGCATCAGTATCTTGCAGTCAAATAAATAAGGTTATGTGCAGTTACTGTAAGTACAAAACGTCTGTACGGTTGTAACTGTATGTATGTATCAAGGCAAATATATCCTCTGCTCAGCTAATTGGACAATTTGATAAAATTAGTAACTAGAAATGAAATCTCCAGTTGCTTTACCAGACGCTACTTAAAACTTGCAGTTAATAATAGGAGAGAAGTCTGGCTCTGACGGTCACATTCATTTTCATCACCCCACCACCATACACACATAATTAATCAATAAATTAATAAATGCACATTCTTTTCCTAGCTATGGAAGCTTGCATCCTGGTTAGGAGCAGTTTCAGATTACAAAACAGATTTTGGTCTTAAATCTTTTTGCCTGCAATTGAGCGTTGAGGCAGATAAAGTTCTACATGCAACAGAATGTTGGGTTTGGACACATGCTGAATGGCTTATTAGAGTGTAAGGGCCTGAAACGTGATTTTATACATGATCAGCGTCAAAACAGATGTTACAGTTCCCACTGCACTGGGAAGCAACTCCTACATGTCCTTGGTACGATTCAAAAGGTGTACACAGAGGGGAAAGAATGAGTGTGGATATAGGTCAACTTTCAAATTCCTGACTTGTTTAACGCAGATTGATTAACAAGCACAAAAACACAAGTTACCAGATTACTTCTATTTCTGGCTACAAAAGGCTGAAGGCTTCTACCTAACGAGAGCTTTATTTCCCCTCATTTTTGAGGATGAAATTTTGAGGGGCGACAGGTGACCTTAAAAGCGCTGCCTAATGTTAAGAAACAGCCAGTAGTGATCAGAATCGCGTTTGTAGAAGTTGGGGCTGCGCGCGTACCAGGCTGCCTCACCAGGCCAGGTAATATAAGCCAGGGCCGCTCTCAGGCGCTGGCCGCGGACACCAAACGAGGGGGAAGGGAAGCGAGAAGAGACCCAGGACTGAAACAAAGGAAGCGGGGCTGCTCCAAGAGGGGGTGGATTTGGCGTCCCGGTGGGGAAGAGAGAAAAGCCAAGGCTGCTGGGGAGACTGGACTCACAGAACTTGGAGGTGGAGGTGTTGATGTTGATGGTGGAGCTGGGGGTGGGGGCGGGTGCCGCCTTGGCCACGGCGGCGGCCGCGTCGCAGCTCTTCAACATCATGATCACCCCATTGGCCTCCGGCGGTGGTGGCGGCCCCATCGAGAGCCCCTCCTTAGGGCCTTTCCTGTCCACGGCGACAGCGGGCACCGCCAGCAACTGCCCCCCTGGAGGCTCTCGGGCAGGGGCCGGGATCGACGAAGTGGGCGGTGGGGGTGGTGGGGGCTGCCGAAAGCCGTCCACGGCGGCCTCCCAGTTGTTGTGGTTCTGGTCGTCCATCATTGCTTCGTAGCTGCCCCCCTCCTCCTCTTCCATGCTTTCCTCCATCCTGCTAGCCCCCAGCACCAGCCCGCCTTACAGGCACCTGCCGCCCGTCGCAACCCCGGGCCAGGGGGCACCGCTACCTCCTTGAGCTCACATTGCCTAGCAGAAACGAGTGTGGCGGTGAAGGCTGCGGCACGCCAGGTGTCTCGCTCTCCGCCGGGCCGACTCTCTTAGAGAGACCGAGGACGGCGGTGGGCGCTCCGGAGCTCTCGCTCGGGGAGAGGCAGCCGCAAAGCGCTGGTGCCTTTCACGACATTTTACAGCAGCTTCCAACAGGCAGTTGGAAAGAGAAGTTGGGGGAGCGGCCACGAGGGCACGTGGTGTGAGGGACGAGCCAGCAGCAGCAAAGCGAAAAGGGGCGGGAGCTGGGAGTCACCTCAGCGAAGTAAGGCAGTGGTGCACCCCGCCTCGATGGCCCAGTGGTGAAAGAGATTGGGCGACGGTGCGAACGCGCATCGGCCCGCCCCGCCCCCGGCCGGGTCTCACGTGACAAGGGGTTTGATCTACGCACGCGCATTCGCAGACGTCTTGGTAACCAGGACGACGAGCATCCGGCTGGGCTTCTGAAGATGCGCGCAGAGCGGCTCCACGGTCTGTGTGCCGCTGGTCATACTTCCGGTGGAGTTTTTTGGTTTGTTTTTGTTTTTCACGCTCGACAGGTCCCTCCTGCCTTCCCACCTCTGAGTGCCTCGCAGCCCTGGCCTTCGCGTCTGAGCGGAGATGGGGGGCCGGAAGAGAGTCGGCGTCTCCGATGGTAAATGCCTGGGACGGTCCTGGGCGGCCCCTCATCCTACTGCGGGTGAGCCTCGCTCTCGCTACCCAAACCTTCAAAACCAGGAAACGGACTCCTCGGAGGGCGGAAGGAAGAAAGAAATGGGATTGAGACGTGCGCGAAAGCTTTCCAAGTTCTATACTCCTCCTATACGCTAAAGCCAGAAACCGAACTTTTTTCTTAAAATACCTAGTTTCTTGCACTGTTTCACAGATTTGAAGACAAATCAAAGGTTGTGTGTGAGCGTCTTGAAGGATAAGGAAGAAAATTATGTAATTTATTATCATTTCTTTTGCTCCAGAAAGTCAATTTACATCCCTCAACTGATAGCTATAGTAGTATATTATATGAGAATGCATGCTGTAGTCGTTTATTGTGTATTATATGGGAATACATACTGTGATCGTTGGTGGTAGAGCTCATTCTGGCTATTGATAAGACAATTGTCTGGAAAAATCGTCTATTACAATTAAGCTAGAAGATAATCTTTTTTCACAAGGTATATAATTGGTGTGAAATGAATCACTTTAGCCACTGAAAAATTATTCGTTGATGTACTTCAGTAGCCACGTTTGTTTTGGCCTCCATAGGTATTCTAATATACTCTGCACTGTGTAATGGAACTTTTTTACCAATCACTTGGAATTTGTCATTTCAAACAATGCTACTTTATATTAATCAATGGCATATTTCTTGAATGAACACAAGTTTTTAATTCTCTAGCCTTGGAACATTTGGGGATGCTAAAAAAAATTTAAAGGAAAAGAAAACTTAGTGAAATGCTTGTTGGCGGGGTGAGGGGGGAATACTTTAGAATTCCATACCCGGGAAAAGACAGAGGTTAAGAAGTTAAGACAAATTTTATCTTTTGCAGACAACTGATAGATTGTCATCAACAGACTCAAGGTATATGATGGGCGGGTGTGACTACAGATAAAGAGTTCTCTCTACATAAAAGATACAACAAACAGAACACAAGTGTCATAAATGTGTCTCCAATAGCATGCTCACAAAATATATGAAGCAAAAATTGAAAAGGAAGAAAACTCTACCATCCAAGTAGACAGTTTTCACATATCTTACATATTGCAGTGGGACCCCTTAAAAACTAGGTACATGTACTAATGAGAGCCTGTGAATGTGACCTTATTTGGAAAAAGTCTTTGCAGACCTAATTAGAGATTTTGAGATGAAGCAGTCATGCTAGATTATCCAGGTGAGCCATAAATCTTTTTTTGAGAGTTTGTTTCTCTCTGTGTGTGTGTGTGTGTGTGTGTGTGTGTGTGTTTGCTATAGGGTGCGGGTACTCACCCGAGAGACAGGACAAGAAAGAGAGAAGTCTCCCCCCAAGGGGACATGGCCACACCGCAATTCCTTGATTCTCTTCTCAGTATGTTGGGCACACAAGCACATGCACCCAGTGTGAGTTAAGCCATTGGATCTGGTACTTGAATTGCTGTTGACTATGTGGGAGCCCAGTGACATAACCATTATGCCATCTGCTGGTCCTAGGTGGGCCATAAATCTAATGACAGGTGTCATTGTAAGAGAAAGAAAAAAGGATATTGGAGACAGAAGAAACACAGAAATAAGGAGCAGGTAATATGACCAAAAGTACAGATTAGAGTGATTAGGCCATAAATCAAGGAAAGGTGACAACTACCCAAAGCTAGGCGAAGCAAAGAATTAGCTGTCCTCTAGAGCCTACAGAGGGAGTGGCACCCAACACTTACACTTCTAGCTTTCAGAACTATGAGAGAATATAATTTGTTGTTTTAAGTCACCTGTTTGTAGTAATTTGTCATAGCAGCCCTAGGAAATTAATATGTAGATCAAAAAGAATAAAAATCTTGAAGGGACTAGAATAATACAATTACCAAGCTTAATCTAGTATATATGTATAAAACATTACTTTAGCAACTGCCAAATATACATGCCTTTTGAAAATATTTGAAACATTTACAAAAATTGAGCATACTGAGTCATAAAGCAGTTGTCTTTTCATATCTAAGGACTGGTATCATAGCAACCACATCCTCGGACGCTATACAGTAAAGTTACGAATCAGTAATCAAAAGATAATTCTCCCACTCTAATTAACTCATAGGTCAGAAAATCATAATAGAAATAGGACTTTTAGAACTGAAGGGAGCAGTACTATCATAGCAATTTAATTTCCATCCTAATAAGGTCCTATTCGAGGGGTTTTTACCTACCACACTGGTGAATACAAAACCCCTCACATATATACTACCAAAATAACATTCATTTTTGCCTTAATTAGTTAAATACACTATTATGGCAAAATCTAACAATACTTGGGTCAAACCAGTCACTGACACAGTACAATTTGTCATCAGTAAGAAATACCACCTACCGAAGTGAACCCAAGTAAACTGATTGGTTTTAAATACCTATTATGAAACAATGTTGTATTATACTTTAAAGTAGATTATATTTTAATAGTATTAACTTAAAATCTTTGATGATTTGTTCTAGTATATGGAGACTGGATATAAAATTATTAACAACACTAATCCAATAGTGGACACATAATTAATTACTATAACCATAGTCACAGATATTTATTTGGTTAGTTTTTGTTTGTTTCTATTTCCCACAGGCTATGAGTTTCATTAAGCTTAATAAATACATGTTTGTATACATAACGAGAAGACTAATTCAAAACATCAAAGTTATCTAGGGATGTTGAGATTATGATTTTAATTTTTTCTGTATCTTTCAATGTTCTCTATCATGAACATATTTAATTTTTATAATAAAAAAATCCAAAAATGAAAGTAAATGGCATTAAGGAAATATAAACTGGTATTTCTTAGGTAAATGTTTTTATTTTGGCTTCTAGGGAAAAAAATCTCAAGCAAAGATCACCTAAAAATCAAGGCTGTTTGCTGGCCAGCAGACAAGTAAGGTCTAGGAAGGTGGAAGTGTAGCATGGTCCAGATGGGGCTTCCACTCTACTTCTCTGCCATGTTCTCTGTCCTTGCTTTTTTCCAGATTTCATCCAGACAGCTGGCACAATGGCCCCAGGCCTCTTATTCACAAACCACAAAGTCAAGAGAAAGAACTCATGAATTCTGGTGGCTGTCTATTATAAGCAAATTCTTTCCCAGAACCCCTCAACAAACTTCCTCTCAAGGTCTCATTGGCCCATTCCTGAAACCACCACATAGCACCTAACCTTGGATTCTAGATCATTTTATTGGAAAGAGTATGGATTTATTCTTAGAAAATAAGGCCCACTTCTGGAACTCAGAGTGGGATTGGTTGATCCTTAAGTACATTGGCTGAGGGAAATAAATGGATACAAGAACACATATTGGGGTCTATTTTGGAGTTTTAAATACGTGCTAGGTAGGCAACAATGTCCATTATAGGCCCAAGAACCTAATGCCCTGAAACCCATCCAATGGATCTAAGATCATCCCAACCTCTCTACTACCTCTATTTCATCAATAGCTCATAATCAATATATTTATGCAAAATTGTATATGTACTGATTATAAACAAGAAATATATAACTCATGTTTAATTATAATGTACATATGTGACTAATTGAAATAGTTAAAAACTTTTTTGGGGGGAAGTACAGAGACTTGGTCAGTAAGAATAAATCTCTGTAATTATTCTCAGCTTAAATTACCCAAATGTCACCTTCCCCACAGAATATTTTGTTGTAATAGTTCAATATTATTCAATGAATAAATGCATGACTAGCTTAAATCTACCTGAAATCTGTTCTATATCAACAGTCTGTTACTTTAGCCAACACATAGAACATAGCTTATACTTGAGATATATTTGCCTAAGAGAAAGAAAAATTGTTTATTGTCATTTACATATCTTTCATCTACCCTCCTAATTCTTGGTTTGTTGGTAAAAAAGATAAAATTGCTCAGAGGTAAGCAATAAGTGGAGATTTATACACACACACACACACACACACACACACATATATATACATATTCCACAAATGATATATAACTCCTTAAGTAGTGAAGTAAGAATTGAATTCGAGAAGATTGTGATGGACAATATACAGACATGATTTCTTTTAATTGCTAATTTAGTGTTAATTTTGTAAAACAATTAGCTGGGAAACTTAAAGATGCAACTTTGATGTAAGTAGACCATATTAGGATAAAGAAGAGTGAACACTTTTTTTAGTCTCCAGGAGATTATACTAACACAACATTTGTCAAAGAAATGATTTGTGAATGTATAATGCAGTTGGAAGACTAAATGCAAAGCTATTGGAAGGATCTCGATTAGAAGGTAAAAGGATTAGAACCATGTAAATAACTGAAGTCTCAATAGTTCACACTGAGATTAATTCTTACAGTGAAGATGTAAAGCCACTCGGGGGAGTATTCTTTATTTGGTATGTATTTCCAGGTTGAATTTTGTTCCTTTTATGTCTTAATATCTGAGTCCTAAATTCTGTCCTAACCAGGGAATGGAAATAATGATGCAGATTCTTTCATAAACCTGATGAATTTAGATGCTGAAGGAAATTACTTTAGCCTGAAGGCAGCTATAGAAAAAATAAGT